CACGGGGACTCAGGTGTGTGGGGGTGTTGTTGTGGTGAGTGTGAATAAAAATGGCTCAAAATGATATTCCGTGGTCCCACCGTGCCTTATTCTCACCACAATATCATTTCATGGTATCATTGAAATCATTTTACATGATACACAATGATACAATGAGCTTGATAATTCAGAAGGTGGTTAGGAGTGATTAGGATGCCTCCAAACTGTGGTGTTCATTATGTTTTACCAGAAGAGAGCCCCGGGGCAGACACAGGACACGCTGGAGGGATGTTTCTTGGTTTGCTTGGAAACACCTTGGTATTCCCCCAGATGAGTTGGAGGAGGTGGTTGCTGCTCCCACCACCTGAACTTGAATAAGAAACAGGACATTTTCCATGACTGTTAAAATAAAGATTCAATTATTTGTAATATAATTGCAGCAGAGGCGTGGTCCCTGGCTCAGCTGTAGGGGAGGGGTAGTGCAGTGAGCCCAAGGGGTATGTCTCTGATATATAGCAAAGCCGGAGCCCAGAGAGTAGGAGTGTGTGCTGGAGATCAACTGGAAAGCTAGTGGACCGGGTGCCGAATCATATAAACGGCACGTGTGATAAACACTCCTCAAGCATGAACAACATACCAGTGTGTCGGCTCAGTCTTTACAGTACTAAACTTGTATTTCCCTGAGTCAAAGAGAGAAATGCAGAAAATCTGACCTTCAGCTGCTCAATGGATATAGTCACTCTTCTTATTACAAAGAAACTGTTCAAGTACAGGACATGCAATTTGTTGTATCACCAACCTCTAAGCTTCAGATCATGGACTGATACCCTAACATTTTGGTTTGCAGTTCTCATCTAAACATTGCACGTGCGTGTTTGCCAAACAAACAAACAAACAAACCCTTTTCTCTCATCGATTACCCCACAAATGTAGGCCAAGCTGAAGATTGAAAGTATCTCCTCAACCTCCCTGGACAGGAGATTAAGCAGATACAAACTGTTGTTTAGTTTTGTTTGCATTCTGATGCAAATTTTACTTGAGCTTCTGTGCAAATGCAAATAATGCAATAAAGAAATAGGTCAGATATATTTGGGATCAGTTCTTTATGTTCCTTTTGCAGATTGCCATATGGTACCAACTGTTTATTTACATTTGTAGCTGAATCCTTTATAAAAGTTTTTCTTTAGAGAACAGAATTGGTGTCAGTGGTGCAGTTATCCTCTCATTTCACAATCTGGGAAAATGACACACAGTGTTTGAAGACAAGAAGAAAAAAAGAGAAGCTCGGGTTCAGGATGGAGATGCTCATAACCTCCCACAGCATCAAGTCACCTTAAATCCAGTGTTGTGACAGCACCTGACATCCTTCTCTTAGAGACACTTTATCTGCGGGCTGCATGAGAGCAGCACTAGCTTCCATCATTGTCAGGACATGCACACACTTGTGCACACACTGTATACTGAAGGTCACCTGAAACAAAGTCTGGGGAGGACTTTATTTAAGAATACATCCTGTTGGAGGATCCTTGTGTGTCAAGATGTGAATAATAAATCTTGTTATGTTAAAGCGAGTACAGTGTCAATAATGCAGTGGGAACACAGAATCTTATCTCGAGAGCAAGTTGCAACGGAAGAAAAGTCCTCCAGTCTGAACAACCTCAAAGCACAGATGTATTCCTTCTACATTTATTGAACCTGCAAGCTTCGGTTTCGCTCTCTTTTTAAATTTCAGAAAAATGCACACACTTCAGTTTGCATGTGTGTGTATGTTTGCAAGCACACCAGTGTGTAATCCATTGAGAATGCAGGTCTTTCAAGTTGAACACTGTGTAACCTGATTATAGACAAGGAGGTTAGGCCACAGTCATGACAGTAATATACTTACAGGGTTCTAAATGGAGCCTAACCAGCTCCCAGTGAAAAGAAGTGGAGCTGGTAAAAGCCATTAAAGCCTGTTTTCTACTGAGCCACTGAAGTCTAAGTTCACAAACACACTGCTGATGGAGCAATATGAGAACCATATGGCTTTCAAATTGACAACAATTGTCATATAAAGAGGTTGCAGCAACATGAGATCAGTGACAACGTGTTATGTGACCAGCAACAGGGACACTGTAGAAAGCCCGGCTTTTGTTACTCTAACATGTACTTGAATGCTGAGTGAGAAAATATTTAAGAAACCACTGGCCTAACCCAAGATAATTTTTAATAGTTGACTAAGATAACCTGAGTAGATATGAAATGATCATTGAATTTATTAAAGGGAAAAGTTATCCAATCCTATCTGGCCCTGTGTGAACAATTATATGCCCAACCCTAAACTTAATAACTTGTTGTGTAACCTTGGTAGCAAGAAGTGCAGTCAAGTTTTTGCAATAGCTGGCAAGGAGTCTTTCACATCACTGTGGAATGTGATGTGGGCCGACTCTTCTTTGCAGAATAATTTATTTCACACACACCGGAGGGTTTTTGAATGGCTTGATAATTAAGGTCATGTCAAATCATATCAATCACATCTCTAAGTACTGACTTTGGCCAGGCCAGTCCAAAACCATAATTTTGTTTTTCCTTTTTGACCCATTCAGACGTGGACTTAAAGGTGTGATCGTTGTCCTGCTGCATAACCCAAGTGGGTTTGAACTTCAGTGCACAAACTAGCTGGATATTTTCATTCAGGATTTTCTGGTAGAGAGCAGAATTCATGGTTCCTTATTTATGGCAAGTCATTCAGTTCCTGAAGCAGTAAAGCAGAGCCAGACCATTACACTACCACCACCATGTTTTACTGTTGGTATGCTGTTCATTATATGAAACGCTTTATGTCAGATGTAGTTCGACTTAAACATTCCAAAAATAAAACTTTTCCCCAGTCCACAGAATATTTTCCCAAAAGTCTTGGGGATCATCAGGGTGTGCTTCTGGTAAATGTGAGGGGAGCCTTTGTGTTCTTTTTGGTCAAAGGTGGGTTTTGCCTTGGAATAGTAGGTATTGGTTTGTGTGTGTGTGTGTGTGTGTGTGT